CTGGCTGTTCTTGCAGAAGACCTGGGTTTGAATCTCAGCGCCCACATGGCAGCTAACTCCAGTTCCAGGGGATCTGACAGCCTCTCCTGTCCTCTGTGAGCATTGCACAACCTGAGTGCACTTACCTACATACAGGCAATACATGCATACACATAAAATAAAAATAATAAATAAAAAATCCACAAACTTGCTCCAAGTAACACTGAGTAAGTGTGCCAAAATAATGATCCCATGTTGAACACCTTCCTTTTGTTAACATACACTTCAGAATGTTGAACACCTTCCTTTGTTAACATATACTTCAGACTTTGGTGTTCAGAAAGGTCCACTGAATTTTTCACATTCCTCGACTCTCCCTCCTGCTTAGAGACCACAGTCCCATCACTTCAGTCAGCACTAGATGCTCTACAAACCTGTCTTGTCTTTAGCTGCCCTTATAGTCAGCCAATCTCTCCAATACATGGAGCCTTTTGACAGTTCAACTTTTACACAGCACATTCTTGTCCCTATAATAACTAGTCAAAGCCATGGTTCTGGGGACTCCATGCTTAAATTTACCTTATCCACTCTGAGTCTTTTGCCAAAAGCAATCTGCTGGTAGAATAGTACGTGTCTTCCATTACAGATATAGATCAATAGATCTTCAAGCACATTTTCTTGTGACTTGGAAAACCAAAGGTGGTGGCAATAGGAAGCACTCCCTGTTAACTGTGGGCACAGGTAAATATAATGACGGATCAATGAAAATCACTATTTCCTGTCTTTAAACCTTGGGTTATATCCTAGTTTGCCTTCAATTGTTGTGACAAAACACTCTGACCAATACCAACTTGGGGAAGAAAGGGTTTATTTGTCTCACAAATCCTGGGTCACAGTTCATCACTGAGGGAGCCCAAGGTAGGAACTGAGGGCAGGAACCTGGAGGCAGGAGCTAAAGCACAGGCCACGGTAGAACACTGGTTACTGACTTGGTCCCCCGGCCCATGCTCAACCTGCTTTCTTATACAATACAGGCCTACCTGTACATGGGTGGCACCACCCACAGTGGGCGGAGCCTGCCCACATCACTCAACAATCAAGAAAATACCCCACAGACATGGCCACAGGCCAGTCCAATGGAGGAAATTCCCCAATAGAGGCTCCCTCTACCCAGGTGTGTCAAGTTGACAACTAAAGCTATCCAGCATAGGGTGAGTTAGCATTTGTCAGCACAATGAAAGAACAGGCTGTCCTAACCAATCAGATCACATTTTTTTAGAATAATTTTAGATAGTCTGGAGAAAACTAGTGACCAGGTATTAAAGTCTCAGAATTGTGATTCCAATATAAAAATATAAAATCCTCCTCTCAAACATATACTGCCATTATTTAAAGATAAAACAAACTTCAACACACTCAACTTTTCTGTCTTCCTCCCACACATATTATTTGGAGATCTCTCAAATGAAACCAAGAGTGAAATACTAAACAAAGAGCAAAGGTTCGTATAAACAGCAAGGAATTGCCACCAAAGGCTCTCTATCTCCAAACAGTGTCTAGACAGTCTTCAGCATATCAAAAACCATGGAACTGCTGATGACAACAGGATGTGAGTAAGGGGCAGAGGGTCCCAGGGACCTAACAGATAACAAAGAATCTCCTCTCAGTAGCTCAGCTCACATTAAAGGCAGTTAATGCAGCAGATCTCAGGCGCAGCAAGTCTTATCTTTAGAATTACTTGGGTGACAGGAATGCTAATGGGATGGAGGCAGAGAAAGTTCTGTGGTTATAGTTCCACAAATAAAGCACTTTAACAGCAGCTGATGATGCCACAGGCCCATGACAACCTTGGCTCTCTGCACAGACATGAACACATTCAATTGAATGCAGTACAGTGTAGAAATACAGATTTGCTCCTGGGAACTAGTACATTTTGCTGGAGAGGTGAAACAAGAGGGCCTTGTTCTACAGATAAGTAGATTAGCACAAGTTTGAGGTCTTGGTGGATATTTTCTTTCTGAAAATACGCTTTGGGAACATTTCCCAGTATTTTAAATTTGAGAAGAATAAAACTAAGTAGAAGAGATATTTCTCTGAGGACATAGTAACTGGAAAGTTCTTCAGCTCTGAGGTATTGGATTCAACTGAAGGGCCGCAGAAAATCAAGTTCAAGAAACATCCAACTTCATGTATTAAAATAGGACTCCTTGGATATTCATCCAGCTTCATGAAGAAGACAGACTAATTTTGAATTTATATGAAAAAATGCTTGATTCTCACCAGCATAACTATATGTAAATATAAATAAATAAATCTAATTGGCATATTCATCTGTTTTCCCAGTGAGTTTTCTGACACGTGTAAAGGAACAGGTCTCAGAACCTGAGGTAGTAGATTGTTTCCCATCCTTTCCCAAGACATCAGCCTGTCCAAGGAGCAGTCCAGAAGCCCACCCTGGAAAGAAGCAAAGCTACCAGGAAGCCAGAGAACAGTCACTGCTGCTGAGCCCATGTACCCCTTCATTCTGTATTATCTCAATACCAGTTATGTGCCAAGTGCTATTGTAGATGCTGGGAGTACCTCAATGGGGGTTGGGGGCTTATAACTTGGATAGGGTAGGCACAAGCAATAAACAATAGCTATAACAAATAATTGAATTAAAGCTTGTTTTAAAGAGTCGATTGCTGGGTTGGGAGATGGTTCATTGGATAAAATGTTTCCAATGAAACTGTGAGGATCAGAGGTTGGATCCCCAAACTCACATAAAAGCTGGGTAAGTGTGGTGATCTCCTTATAATCCCAGGAGTTGGAAGTAGAGATGGGATCCCCAAGGCAAGCTGGGTGACTCCAATTTCAGCAAGAGATCCTGCTTTAGTAAAAGTGAAGAGCAATTGAGGAAGATACCTAATGTCAGCCTCCATGTGCGTACCACACACGCAACACACACAAGCAAATTTTCTAAAAAAAAATGTTGAGTACTATCTTACAATCTCTTGTGGATGATAGTGTCAACCACAGTTAGTAGCCATGTGGTATTTCCTCTGTCCTGAATACTTTTTCTTTAATTATTATCTATTCATTTACTCCTCACAACAAACTCATAAGGCAATCACTCCTATAACCTTCCCCCACAGATGAGACAATTAAGAAACAAAAGCGTTAATTTGTCCAAGATCACACTATAGGTAAATAAATGGTAGAGCTGGGATTGCTTGCTGAATAAGCTTCTAAACTGACACAAGCAGTCTCCCCTGGAAGAGTTCTGAAGGAAATGCTCTGAACCATCGAGGGCCTTTGCATTCGAGGCCTTCTCACAGGATTGACTGCAGAAGGAGACATAGGTCTCGAGCACGCCGTGAAGGACCCTGGACATTAGGTCCTTCTATAACGTGGAAAAATACATACTTCTTGATTTGTGGATTGTTTCTAGTCTCCCTCTCACCTCTGGATAGCCATCTTTGATTATTTCCTTCTTCATGGGTTCACTGACAGTGTTACAAGAGATGGGAGAAAAGACAGCATATAGCTTATTAACACATGGCATAGGTTCACCTACGTACTGTGACTGCAAAAGGGTGGCTGTGCTAACTCATATGATGAGAGTAAAACCAGACATTGACCCTCAAATTCCATCATGTTTAGCCTGTCATATCTCTAAAAGTTCATTCTAGTATATCAACTGTGTCAATCATTTTAATATTCCTGAACCACACTTTCGTCTTCATTGGACCTCTCCTAGTTTGTATTTATTTTAGAATGCAGAATGCCTTGTAGGGGAATCTTTCCTTTCAGGGTTTTTCCAGAAAATAGGCAATGACTAGATTCATTTAGAAACCTGACCAGAGAAGCTCCTAGCTCCAAGTAACCTGTAGTTTGAATCAGGTGTTCCGCACCTTGTCTGCGCCACATATAGACATTGCTTTTTAATAAAGGACTGTCCTCATGTGCGTCTACCATCACCAGTCTCGAGTATAGGATTTTGACCATTTGATGTCTTAGATGAAAGCTTGTTTCTCTTGGCCGCCGCTCGAGTCTGTGAGTGTATATGCTAACTATAGAGTACTACCTTTACTGAGTACTCACTGTTCTTCAAGTGTACTATGGTAAGCACTTCACACGTCATGTTACTTTTAACTCTCACGATTCTACACAGTAGGCATAGCGACTCCTAGTTTACAGAGGGTAAGACAGAGGACTTAAATAAGAAAATATTTTTTCAATTTCTCATCAGTGTAAGAACAAATAGGTATATATCGTCGTGCAAACTTCACAGACAGAAATACAACTTAAAATGATTTAGTCAGGGTGGGGAGATCTCGGCTAGCAGGAAAGAACCCTTGCAGAGCAAGCATGAAGATCTGGGCTTTAACCTCCAGCATCCATGCAAAAAAGACAGGCAGCACTGGGCAGGATGGCTGGTGGAGCAGGCAGGTCCTGGGTGCTCTCTGGCAAGTTGGTTTAACCAAAACAGTGAGCTCCAGGTTCTGTGAGAGGTCCTGTCTCAAGAGAATAAGGTAGAAATGATAGAGCAGGCCACTTGATATCTGCCTCTGGCCTCTGTAGGCACACACATCCATACTCCCCCATACCCCACAAAAAAGAAACAAAAAACGAGATTTAGTTTTCTTCCATGTAATCCTAGCTCACTGCTCCTCGGGGTCAGTTTCCACTTCTTTTTTTGGTCTCCTTGAATGAAAGAAGTCTCTTCTCACAAATTTTCCCGTATTTCTCATTGGGTCTTAAAAAATATTTTATTATTAGCTTTTTACGTATATACTTCTGATGTCTCCAAATAGACTAGAGGCTTGCTATGGCATTGCTTTAAATTTTTTCCAGTATGTTTTGCATATGGCAAGGACTTGGTAAGCCTTTCTCAGTTTATTAGTTAAGCTACCAATGGTTTGTGGTGTCTTTTTACAGCATTGAAGGAGCACAAAAAATTGACTCTCAGTTCAGACATCGTGTGCTCACATAAGCTGCCAATTCAGCATCAAATTGCTTCCTGTTACTCAGTGACATACCTGTAAGATGCAACTCATGATATCAGATGCGATTTTTGCATGTGGAGTATCTTCGTCTTTCCCTGAGGATCTCAGGTTGTGTTCTAAGCAGGAATCCCAGAGTCCCACCAGGGCTCTGGCGTGCTTTTCAATGGATTCTGTCTCTCTGATGGCTGTTGTGATCCTTGTGATACAAATTTCCACCACTGCCTGGTCATTGTTATTGGTTTGATAATCCTATTTGAAAAAAATAAACAAACCTCCATGTTAAATAATACTCTAGACAGTTATCCTTCAAAGGAGGAAATACTGAGTCATTTAGAAGATGATGTGTTATACTGAGGGATGAGGTTGTAAAGCCCATTACAGTTGGCCTTCGTTCTTGGAGATGGAAATCTTGTGGAAAAGGCAGAATGCAGACAAGTTCAAATGTAGTAGGTTCATGCTGTGTGCTGGATAGCTTTAGTGTCAACTTGACACACCTGGGTTGAGGGAGCCTCAACTGGGTAATTGCCTTCATTGGACTGCCCTGTGGCCATGTCCATTGGGGCACCTTCTTGATTGTTGAGTGATGTGGGAGGGCCCAGCCCACTGTGGGTGGTGCCACCTCTGGGCAGGTGGGGCTGTCTTGCATAAGAAAGCAGGCTGGGCAGGGGCCAGAGGAGCAAGCCAGTAAGTAAGCAGTATTCCTCCATGGCCTGTGCTCCAGCTCCTGCCTCCAGGTTCCTGCCCTGAGTTCCTACCTTGGGCTCCCTGATGAACTGTGACCCGGGAGATGTAAGATAAATAAACCCTTTCCTCTCCAAGTTGGTACTGATCAGAGTATTTTGTCAAAGCAATGAAGAAACAAACTAGGACATGCTGTCACTGAGGAGCTGGATCTTTCACTTCTTGCAAACAGGTTGAATCTTTAGCCAATTTCAGTTTCTGTCCATTTCAGGACAAAAATTACTCTGACATTTTAGTAACATTTATGAAACATTTCAAATGACTTCCCAAATTCCCCTCATTGGCTTTCTCTCTCTTTCAGAATCCAACAGAACACAACATTTCATTTCTCTCTTTTCAACTCAAATAAGCACTAAGCCCAGGTTAGCTTTCCCCTACCAAATTTCCTTTACCCCTACCCCTCCATCTTAATCATCTCTCAAATATTTCACCACCTTTACTGAAAGAAAATCTGATCTAAAATTTCTAAATGTGAAACACACACACACACACACACACAAACACACAAACAGAACAAAAATGCTCATTGCTTTGAGTTGGAAAATCAGCCTGACTGTGAGCTGCCTCACAAAATAGAAAATGTAGGGGCTGGAGAGATGGTTCAGTGGTTAAGAGCACTGGCTGCTCTTGCAGAGGACCTGGGTCCAGTTCTCAGCACTCACATGGTGGCTAACAACCATCTATAACTCCAGTTCCAGGGGATTCAATGTCCTCTTCTGACCTCCATGGGTACTGCATGACATGAGTTCACTTACATACATGCAAGCAATATACTCATACTTAAAAAAATAAATAAAATATTGTAAAAACAGGAAATGTAGCCGGGCGTGGTGGCACACGCCTTTAATCCCAGCACTCGGGAGGCAGAGGCAGGCGGATCTCTGTGAGTTCAAGGTCAGCCTGGTCTACATAGTGAGTTCCAGGACAGCTGGGGCTACAGGGGGACCCTGTCTCAAAAAGATTAAAAAAAAAAAAAAAAAACAAAAAAAACCCCCAACAACAGGAAATGTAACATGTTCAGATCCTATACCTTCATGCTGGTTGATGTATAAACATAACCCTCATTTCAAAGGGGATAACAGAGTTTATTCTGGAGTCTAATATGAGTGAGTAACCATGACCCAGGAACACAGATTTAGGTTGCCCCAAGTTCTGTGTTCCATGTGGCAACTGTTTGATGATGCTTTTAGTAACAGAACAAAGAAAGCCATAAATTAAAGCATTTTTCAAATATATTAGAGGAAACACTAGGTATGTGGTTACAGAAAAGGGGGAGGGGATCTCAGCTATAGGGCTTAGATGCTATCTGGTGACACTTGTGGTTGGTGCCTTTGGTTGGTGGAAAGTAGGGTTTTGTTTAGTTAATACACTCTAAAACATTTTGCCTCTTAGTCACAGGCTGTTAGGGCAGACACAGAGGTGGGCAAGGTATGGCTATTTTAGGGGGCTAAAGATAGCTCAAGATAAATAGGAATTTGGCTCTGGACCTGCAGCATTCCAATCTCTCCACAGCCATTAAAGTTCTAATCAGTTAATCAACATTGCAGCTGGTTCAGTTAAAGGTTTAGCTTCCATCTGGAAACTTTTGTCCACAGTGTACAATAGACAAAGGAGATGATAGGGCTTTTCTGCCTAGCTGGGAGTTCTTATCTTAACATTATTATTATTATTATTATTA